CAATTCACCAGCTAACATGTTCTCTCATTTTGATAAGTTTGGTGCTGCAAAATTTGGTCAAGAAGGTGCAAATCCATTAAAACTCGACGCTCAAGGACTCAGGAGGCTGCAAGTTGGATATTGCCAGCAGGTTCAAGATTTATCTGCGGGAATCCCACAAGCTAATGGGCTTCAAGGTTTTCAATTCCTATCCAATACAGTCATTCCCAATATGGACTTTGCCCTGATGTCTGATCAGCAGCAATACTTTACTGATGCACCATCTCCTTATTTTCATGCACAACAGTTGAGCCAACCCCAGCCTCCGCTCCGCTGGAGAAATATTGAAGAGGAACAATATTACAGGATGAATCAACAATTCCTATATCTTCAGCAGCTGCGTAATCAACAATTGGAAGCTCAGCATCCTGTTCATGTTGATGCAAATTTTCCGAATAGGCTAATGAATAGGAGTATGCGACAGCAATACTTTGAGATTCCAATTCCTCGTCAAGTTGAACAATCTACTGGACCATTTTGGAGTGATAATGCAATCACAAGGGGCTTGAACCAGTCAAATCCTTCCTTTTCCTGTGCAGATCATGAGGCTGCACATGTTTTGGCTAAAGTGGGAAAACATAATTTTCCTGACAAAGTTTTAAAAAGATCACATGGGAGGAACACACTTAAAGCTGTGAAATTTGGTTCTGTTGGAGGAAATGAATCGCGCACTCATGTCAACCAGAACAGAAAAGTTCTATCAGATAGTCACTGCAACCATCGCTTCTCTTTGAATGCTGAATGCTTTTGTCTAGACAATTTGAGTTCATGGGGTTTGTCTGCTGACGCTGTCAATCTTAAAAGTAAAAATCTGAGGCCACAGCCCCAGAAGTACAGCTCTCTTGATGAATTAAATGGTCGGATATATTTCATGGCCAAGGACCAACATGGTTGCCGCTTCTTACAGCAAATATTTTTAGAGGGCACTCCTGAAGATATTGAGAAGATTTTTCTTGAGGTCATTGATAACATTGTTGACCTTATGACAGACCCTTTTGGGAATTACCTAGTTCAGAAGCTACTTGAAGTGTGTGATGAGGGACAGATAATGCGGATACTTCATGCCATAACTAGAAAATCCGGTGACCTAGTTAAGATTTCCTGTAATATGCATGGGTATGTCCTCTCTCTCTCTCTCCCCTTTCTCTCTTTCTCTCCCTGTCTTACGCACATTGGCTTTGGATCTGTTAGTTTGCGTCCTCTTTTATAGCTTATGATTTCCCCTTTCTTATCTGATATGTTTAATTGTTGGTTTCCCTCTGAGATACAGGACCCGTGCTGTTCAGAAGGTTATTGAAACTCTTAAGACCCCCGAGCAATTTTCCATGGTTGTTTCCTCGCTAAAGCCTGGCATAGTGAGTCTAGTAAAAGATATGAATGGAAACCACGTAGCACAACGCTGTTTACAGTATTTAATGCCTGAATACAGCAAGGTAAGAGTTTCTCGTTTCTAAAATCAATTTAGGCCAAGTCTCATTTGAAATAGCGGTAGATATTTCTTGTGCAAGGTTGCTAGAAGACCAACCCACTTGTGAGTTGTATGTTAGGCTTTCTGGATATAGGGAACCTTAAAAATTTGCATAGGCAGCTGTCATTCTGGTACTGGTAAGTGGAAAACTTTGAAATGGAAAAAATTGACGAAAAATTTGCATAGGCAGCTGTCATTCTGGTACTGGTAAGTGGAAAACTTTGAAATGGAAAAAATTGACGGACATGTCCCATGAGAAACTTGCTCTGCTGGAGAGATGGCTGTCAAGGAACTTGATCATTTAATATCTGCTTTTTGGTTTTCCTTCCTGATTGTATCTAGTAACTTTCATGTTTTTTTGCCATACTTCAAATATTTGATGACACCTTGCTCTGTTTTTATTATTCATTGGACTATGTCCAGAAACATCTTCTATCTGAAGAGATCAAAAACTTTTTGAGAGTGATAAATAACCAAAATTTTATTGCTTTATTATATCCCAGCAGAAAAAAAAAACCAAACCAAACCAAAGTCCACATTCTGAGAATTCTCTGACATTGGTCTAGCTAGTGCACTAGAAAATTTGGAGAATTATTGGAAAATTTGGTAACAATGAACAAAATTCGTTACTATATCTTCCACCAATTTCTCTGCTTTTCCTTGTGAATGGAGTCCAAAAATATTTCTATCTACCATCAAATGTTTATATCATGGATGGCCTTGACCAATAAAATTTGCTAATGTTTCTCCTGTAGTTCCTTTTTGAAGCTGCCACAGCTAATTGTGTTGAACTTGCAACTGATCGTCATGGCTGCTGTGTGCTTCAAAAATGTCTTACCTATGCTGAGGGTGAGCAAAGACGCCGTCTGGTGTGTGAGATCACATCAAATGCTCTAATTCTTTCTCAAGATCCTTTTGGGTACTTTTTCACTTCTTTTGCTTTATGCTTTCTTCTATGAATGTGATGTTCATGAGCTAATCCATCAAAGATGATGCATGGCATTTCAGTAATTTCAAATTTCTGTTTTCTCAGAATTATGTCGAGCACTATTTCTGTCATCTTTACATAAAAAAGTTTGTCCATTGGTGGCCAGCAATTGGTAGTACTGATATGGACGTACAAATGGCCGAGGATGGATATTTGTTATTGCCACCTAAATAGATAGTTTTTTTGAATATGAGACAATTTGCAGCAAGGAAACATGCCAAATGTTTTTAACTGATAGGACTTACAAATGGATCTGGGAAAGATTAGGGGATCGTTAAGAAAGTAATGGATTTTGATGCCCTTTTTCATGCCACACAAGCACCATGTGCTAGACAGATTAGTGCCTAATACTATGTTAGGATTTTTAGAAAGGAAAAGAGAGGAACTAAAGGAAATGATGAGTTTTTGGAGGAAAGAAAGGAAATACATTTTTCCTGATTTGAAATAACTTAAAACTTTGAAGTTGAAGAAAAGGAGAAAATTTGTTGTGGTCAATTTCTTGGTTTAGGTAAGGGGAATCAAATGATTAATTATTAGATATTTCTTAGTTATACATCATATAATTAAATTATAAGACACTATATTTGAGGATAAAATAAAAAAAAAATTATTATTTAAAACTATAACTCTTTTTCCTTTTCTCTTGTTTTGAACTTGGAGGAAGAGAAAAATAGATTTTCAGAAGGAAAGTGAAAGATCCGCATCATCTTTTCCCCTCTTTGTGCTTTTTTTCCTAATTTTTTTATCATAAACAAGTAAAATGTTGAAGAATATGTCTATTTCTGTTTCCCATAATTTTCCTCATTTCAAAAACCTAGTAAGGTTTGAGAGCATGCTTTAATGGGTGTTTCAATGTGTTATATGAAATTTGTGCATGACAAACTAGTTTTGAGAATGAGAATGTTGAAGGAGATAGATAGTATTCTTAATGACTTTGAATTGCAGAAGCACAAGGACCATCACTGATAAATGCTTATACTCTAAGCATACCTATTTAGACTTCAATTCTGGATTTCAATGTTGCAGGAACTATGTTGTGCAATTTGTCTTTGAGCTCGAGCTTCCATGGGCAACGGTGGATACTCTTGATCAGTTGGAGGGTAATTATGGGGACTTGTCCATGCAGAAATATAGCAGTAATGTGGTTGAAAGATGTCTAAAATATGCTGGTGAGGAACGATGTGCTCGTATTATCAAGGAACTTATGAGTAACTCCCGCTTGGATCAAATCATGCAAGATCCTTATGGAAATTATGTCATCCAAGCAGCATTGAATCATTCTAAGGTAGAATTCTTCAAGCATATAAGGAAAATACTTACTGCTAATGAGTTTCAGATATTCAGTGAAGTCTACATTTCTAGTTTTATTAGAACTACGATATGTGACCTTTTGCTTTCTTTTGGGTTCCCCCTTCAAGAGCTTTCTCTAGATATTTATTCATGAACAATCTTTTGCCTGAAAATCTGTGTTCACTCATGCTCCATGTGCTCGAGTATAGGAAAGTTTTAGAGGGTAGGAATGGGAAAATGGCTCAAATGTAATAATTGAAGCCGAGGCTTTATAAAGTGGGAATGGTATAGGAGAATTTATTATAGTGCAACAGGATTATGTGAAGCTCTGTCTCTATATCTTGAAGTTTTATACAGAATAAAATTTCTAAAGATTTTGTCGAACAGAATGTTCTCCTGCAGAGGAGGTTAAAACAGGGTTATTTCATTATGAATTTTAGGTTATACTGGTTTAGATGAACTCTATATTGATTCTTGCGCCATCTTTCCTTTAAAATTTTTTCTCACTTTTTCTCTTAGCTGCTAAGTTAGCAGCAGAAAAGGTGGTCCAAGCTCAATGCTCTGCTGCTAATCTCTGTTCAAACAATAACAAGCATCTGCTGCCCTTGCATCATTTGTTTATGGAATTCCACATATGTTTCATGCAAGTGCAAGAAACTAGAATAGCAAATCCAGGTCTAATTTCCATTTTTAACTTGTTAAGCAGGGATCTGCTCATGCTGCATTGGTGGATGCCATAAGACCTCATGTCCCCATTCTCCGGACCAGCCCTTATGGAAAGAAGGTGCTATCTAGCAATAGTTTGAAGAAGTAAACTTCAAGTATGATTGAACAATTCTTTTTGGTGATAGTGTGTGTACGTTCTTCCGAACAACTTCTGATATGAATTTTCTTACGGCCTGGCGAATTGTAGCATTACTGTTGGAAAATCTTGTAAATTCTATAATAAGAGGGAAGGGTGGTGTTAAGAAAAGTAGTGTCAAGCTTTGTTGTTCTGCTGGTGCTTTTGGATCCTTCCATGCATAGACCTTAAAGGAGAAGATAGTTGGTGCTTTTTCAAGGAAAAGAAAACATATACCATTCAGTTTTCATTTTGGACTCGGGCAAATTTTGCATAAGACAGTATTCACGTGTTTGTAGATTCGTAGATTATTTTATTTGAGTAGAGAATAATACAATGTGAAGCCATGGACCTCATTAATTAGTAAAGTGAAATGGCTGGTATTTATAGGGGCTTTAGGGCACAGGAGTATTTGTAAGTTTGAATGAGCTTTAAAAGCTACTCTTGCTTATATGCCAAGCATTTCTTTTTCTTGTGCAAATTGTATACCTTTATGCATGTGTTTATGTTGCTGATCAATTAAGAGCTGAAAATGCCAGCCAACAGAACAAAGCAGAAGGAGCACAGCTAAGTTAAATATGTATATGTACTTTTTAAATTCTTTTTGATCTTCCTGTTCAGGAAATTACAGATACAAAAACTTTGGTAGAAATGAAAATTTGAAGCAAACAAGAACATGATACTGAATTTCTTCAAATCCCAGCATAAACTAAATCTATGGTGAAAAAATCATACATGTGAAAATAATTATTTGACACGTAAATGGGTTAACTAGCTCCTATCTTTTTCGAAAGCTCATAAGTGCAATCCCTCTCACCAAGACTTCATTTCTTGTTGAATCCAAATAAAGATTTAAGGGCATTGATGGCATTCTCATTGATAAATGATTCATCAAACCGTTTCAGAAGAGGGTCAAATTCTTCAGATGCTCTGATATTGGCTAGGTCAGGATCAGTTCGAATTCGCTGTTTACAATGTGAAGATTTTCAGAGAGTCTCTATGCTTGAACTGTTTGAAATAATAAATCTTATTGTGTAATTCATCTTTTACCTTGAAGTCTTCAAATCCATCTTTCAAGGCATCTTCAAGTGCTGAGAGCCCCGCTTGTACCTATCAGGGTTTAAAGAAAGCAAACAACTAATGAGGAGCCTGAAGTAGCTTCTTCAACAGAGAGCAAGTTTGTTCTTAAATTAAGAAAACTCAAATGGGTATGAGCGGACATGTATGCTTACAGTTAGCCAGATTCAAGTCTGAAACCAAAAAAAGTATAAAAAGAATCAAAATATTGTTTCGTGGAGTGCTAGTTATCCTCTTTCTTTACCTGATTCAACTTGGAATAACAACATGCAACATTGTAACTCGCTACAGAAGCTTCATCTGAATCTGGTTTGGAGCCTAATACAGATTCAAACTTCACCAATGCTTCCTCATAATTACCATTCCTTTGACAAGTAGGAGAAAGAAGTAAGGATCAGACGGGAGTCTAAAAGAACCATGAATCTTGAAAGCACATCATATGCAAAGTTAAAGCCACAAAATTACCAAAAGAACCTATTTCCTTGAAATCACATTTACATCATAAATTAAGCAAAGTTAGCAAGAGATTTACTTGTAAAGTTGCAGCCCTTCACGAAGGTCCTTGGCTCTTTGCTCTTTTTGCTCCTTTTTCCTCAAGTAATTTTGCATCTGAAAACAAAGGCATGTTGCCAAACTATTTTGGTTTCATCTTACACAATATATTCTCTTTGCAAAAACCAGCAAAGGGAATAAAAAAGATAGTGATTATCCTAATTTAGATTCGTTCAAAGTGACATCCAAGAATTCACACTCACTTGAATTTCCCTCACTCTATTACTGATGAATCCAGCATTCCTTTCTGCTCTTATAATCTCCTTTTCTGTTAGTTCACCTCCGCTCTCCAGTTTCCCTGGGAAACAAGCCAATGGTATTCATATTTTCTTGTATATAATGCAAACATATGATTACATGAATCGCCAATCGGATAGAAATTCTGAAGGCAAACCAACTTGAAGTTTGTTGATTCCAAGTACAAAACAAGCATGCTTCTCATTGTGCCTTGACATGAAGGTCAAGAAAAAAGAAACAAAAGCAAAATTGGAGGGAGGACTAACCATATTTCTTCTGCATTTTCATGAGTAATGGGCCTATTCTCTGGCGGATGGTATACATTGTCCTTCCATATTCTGCAGCAGGCCATATTTCTGTCCCAAAAACTGCACTGCATTACAGTAATCAGCATTAGGTCACATTCTCAAACATAACTCCAAACAGTTGTACAGTGTTGTAGCAGGCGAATGAAGGTTGAGTAACCAGGTATCGAGTAAGCTCTTAGTGTCAACATATCAAGCAGACTGGATAAACCTTAAGGAACTTATTGAACTCATGTTCCTCAAGGAATCCGTAGAGGCTAAGTCGGGGCTGTTCTAGGGGGCATATCATCATAAATTTTAAATGCCAACATTTCTGACCAGTAGAAGAATGTTCAATTATGTCTATATTCAGCAGTCCCAGTACAAAATCAAGCACATCAATGATTCTTGCTTAATCAGCTGAATTGCAAACTACGAAGGAAAACCGGTGGTTCAAAATACAAAACCAACTCATCCATCAATAATCAAAATTAAGAATATGAATACCAAAGGATAAAGAACAGACCTGGTGGCGAGCACTTTGTCTCCAACAGTGAATAAGCCGGTCTTGTCAGCTGCTCCTCCAGGCAGAATAGCATCAATATAAGTCCCACCATCTCTTCCTTTGAAGAACTTCAGGCCATAAGGCTGCTCCAACTCCACCTCATATTCTTCATACTTGTCTTCACCTTCACCCCCTTCACTTGCACCCTCAGGCTTCGACGCCTGGGACTCGGTTTCGGATGCTTTAACGATAAAAATTTTTGATTTTGGGAAATGGGTATTGCAGAAACTTGCGGAGGAGGTAAAAAATGAGAGGCCCTTGGATGAGAAGTGTTTGGTTTGAGGAAAGAGAGATTGGGTTTGGTGCTTGGGCTGGAGAGTTTTTGGCAATGGTGGTGATGAATAAAGAGATGGGTAGCTTCTTGGAGCTAAAGACATGGTGGGTGTTTGCTTTAATGGTTCGTGGGGGGGATTGAGGTCAGAGTTGTCCAGAGATGGAGGAGAGAGTGAGTGAAGGGGGTGCCATTGGAGAAGAAGAAGAAGAAGAAGAAGATTGATTGGTCTGAAAGTTTAGCTTTGGATTACAGAAGCCATGCTAGTGGCTCTAATCCACCCTTTCTTGAATGCAAGTCTACTTTGATTTTGTTCTCACACGTGTCACTTTATTAACTCTTAGTTTTCACTTCAAATTTTGTGTGTGAAATTTTCATATATATATATATATATGTGTGTATATATGTATGTATGTATATTGAGAAGGCATATAAATATATTATACTTATTTATATACAAGATAAATAATTAAATTAATTAATTAATTAAAATAATATTATATGTAATTTTAATGGAGCAATATTATGGTTAATTTTTTTTTACTTGAAAAGAGTAATTACCATCATATAGTTTAATCACTAAAAATTTTAAATTAAATACAACTTCTTAAAGTTTTTGGTATAATTAATAATTGGACCCAAAGTTTTTAGAATATAACAATTTAGTCCATAAATATTTTTTTTTTTTAAAATTAATTTTAATTTTTGAATAAAATTAAATTGGGCATGTGAGTGTGGGTCACATACCCATTTTCTTATACTGACAACATAATTTTTTTAAGGTGTCTTAAAAAGAGTTCTGTCAAACCTCAGCTTACTCCTCTCTTTCATTTTGTTTGGATTGTGGTTTATTAATGTATGGTATGGTGTTGAGTTTGTTTTGTCTTATTTGTATTCACTTTCAAATTTCTTATATTGATAATATATTTTTTTTAATGTGTCTTAAAAAGAGTTCTGTGAACCCACAGCTTACTCCTCTCTTCTTTCAATTTGTTTGGATTGTGGTTTATTAATGTATGGTATAGTACTAAGATTGTTTTGTCTTATTTGAATTTACTTTCAAATTTCTTATATCGATAATAAAAAATTTTTAAGGTGTCTTAAAAAGAGTTCTATGAAATTACAACTTCCTCTCCTCTTTCTGTTTATTTAGATTATGATTTATTAATGTATGATATGGTGCTGAGATTATTTTGTCTTATTTGGATTCACTTTTAAATTTCTTATATTGATAATATTTTTTTTTTAAGTGTCTTAAAAAGAGTTCTGTGAACCAACAACTTCCTCTCCTCTTTCAGTTTGTTTGGATTGTGGTTTATTAATGTATGGTATGGTACTAAAATTGTTTTGTCTTATTTGGATTCACTTTCAAATTTTTTATATCGATAATAAATTTTTTTTAAGGTGTCTTAAAAAGAGTTCTGTGAAATTACAACTTCCTCTCCTCTTTCATTTTATTTGGATTGTGATTTATATTAGTATGATATGATGCTGAGATTGTTTTGTCTTATTTTTAAATTTCTTATATTGATAATATATATTTTTTTAAGATGTCTTAAAAAGAATTCTGTAAAGTTACGACTTCCTCTCATCTTTCTGTTTGTTTGGATTGTTGTTTATTAATATATGATATGGTGTTAAGATTGTTTTGTCTTACTTGAATTCACTTTTAACTGCATAGTATGATTTTTTGATAGTTTTTGCGTGGTTCTCTAAACCATCATTTTTTTTACTTTTGCAAATCACTCGAATCCGCGATTTTTGAGTGGTAAAAAATATTGCTTCCATTTATGCCCCCACCATCTTTTCTTAATTTCATATTTGTCCTAAATTAACGAAAAAATTAATATATAAAAAATAATAAGAATAATATAAATATACAAAAATAATAAGAACATACAAAAATAATCTTTTTTTCTTTAGTTTTTTTTATTTAATTACATATTTATATATATATACATACATATATATATATATGCAATATTGCCAGTTAATTTTTTTTTATTTCATTTATTTATTTAATTATACATATACACAAATATATATATATTTGTCGCATAATAAAATAAATAATTTAATTTTAATTAAATATACAAATATATAATCATATTAATTCAACAGTTGTCATTATCATACATTAATAAAGTTAATTTTTAATAAAACTTAGAGAACCGTAATTTAAATAAAAACATCTACTTTTGATATCGTATTAATTGAATCGATTCCCGTAAAATTTTAGATCGATAAAAAAGAGTACAATCATTCATTTTTATTCTAACAATTAAGAACTTTTCTTTAATAGTTTTACTTCAAACAAAGTTTCTCTCGTAGTTCTATTAAAAACAAAGTTGATCCCGAATTTACGTTACGAAAAAATTACCCCGAACTAAATCACGTAAACACGAAATTAGATAGCAGAACAGTACAAAAGAGCAAGCAAAACAGTAAAAAGAACAGAAAAAAGTTATGATTAGAGATGAATTACAATGATTTGCAGAAGCATTAAAGTTGAGCTGATTGATAACAAAATCTATGGGAGGCAAAGAAATCAATTCTTGAAATTCAAGAAGCTGTCGCCATTGAGTGTGTTTCCAAAACATCAATCAACAAGCATGATTGATGACCCTTTTCTGCCTACAAAAAGCACAACACCAGGACATGTTCTAGACAGTCCCACCATTTTCATTCCTCATGAAGTCATCCACTGTAATTCAACCAAAAGAAACAGGGAAGAATAAAATTCCAAATAACAATTACCATGAACTTTCACAGTAAATTTTGTTTGCTGTATATGCATTTACCATATACAAGACTTGGTAGACTAGCTAGAAACCTAACGGACGGATTTAAGAATCAAAGTTAAGCGATTTGAAGAGTCTTGAATCTTGCAGAAGAACTAGATGTATCCGCAATATTGAGCTCTCTGAGTGTATACTTTATCGAACCCAGATTTTCTTATGTGTGCCTACGTGTACTTCAGCTATTTTTTCTAATAACAAATCCGCCAAGATGAATAGAATGTAGTTGGAACGATAAGCTGTTTCGTGTTTCTCTTACCAAGTTTGACTCCCTATAGGAACTTGTGGGGAGGAAGAAAGTGATGGAGCAGGATCATAGAATATTACAAACACAGCCTCTATCATAATCACCATCGTTGTCAGAGTCTTCTACTTCACTGTTCAAAACAAGGAAAATATATATATATATATAATATCAGAAGGAATTACAGGAACCAGAAGCAAGAAATAAGACTTCTAAACTTGCAACATACAAACACTTCTTTTCATCATTTCCGTGTATCCTATATGTTTATGGGGGATGTTGGGCAAGCGATCTGTTTGTCTTTTGAAGAAACATTTCAGTTTAACTCCTACGTCAACAAGATTAGTCCTTCAAGAGAAATTTAACCGACCAAAACTGGTTTTAGATACCTCTAATGAAACCTTGTGTTGAGAGAGGAGGTGGATTTTGCATTTATTACGAAAGAAGACCCTCTGATCTGCTTTTTACAATTTGTTGTTCCCATCAAAGATAATACAGGCAGCAGAAATTATATAAAATATCTATTTGGGAGCATATATTAACATGCTTAAGCACTAAAACCAGCATGTGCTCTCAAGGGCCATAGAAGATTAGTCCAAAAATGCTCTAGAAATACATGCAGCCTGTCAAAATTGTTTCAAAAGCTATTGAAAATTGAGGTAGGTAGATGCTGCATTTGCTTTCGTTTGAGTTCACAATTTCTGTTGCCATTTCTTAAGATAACTTCGAGTAAAACTGTGAAGCGAAGCATTGTAGATGGCATTCTCTCCCCCCACTCCTCCCCCCACCCACCCACCAAAAAGAAAAAAGCACTAACATATGCCTTTCTGTTTCACAAACTAAAAAAGCAAACTCCCTCTCAGGAGAAATTTTCAGCATCAAGATACCATTTACCTTATATTCCTCAATCAGAATATTGACCTAATTTTTGGCACCAGCCAGGATGCTAAAGCACTTATCTCAATATTGAAAAACCATTAAAACATTTATTCCATAAACCAATTCTAATGCGTAAATTCTGATTCGATCCAGTTTTTACTTGCATTATATGATGATGAATTAATCTTTTGCAAACCTGTGATTACTACTTTAATAGCCTACTCTTGTTTCCACTTCAAAACTAGCAGCATTTTTTTGGCTTTGTTCTGGAAAAATGAATATATAGCTTCCTGCAGCCATACCTCCCTAATGAGAAAGTACAAAGTTTTCCATCAAGACTGGTCCTTTAGGTGCCTTTCTTATCTATCTTTTTACATATATTTATTCCCCAATCCCTCGTTTATTTTCAAGATTCTATTGCTCTAACTCAAATTGTAATAGTGAATTTAGGCCCCGAAAGAACAACAGACTCCAATTGAAGCCAATCTCAATCTTCTAAGCTAGAGAACTGAATTCTATATTCTACCAATTTTCAACTAAGAACTAGCAAAAAGCAGTTCAATCAAAAGTTCAAACAAAGGAAAAATAGATTTGCCAAGAAAAACAAACAAAAAGGCAAAGACCCACCTGGCCTCAAATTCTCTGATCTCAATAAGTTCTTTCCCCAACAATCCATCCACTGCACTTTTTCTTGTGGACTTCCTCTTTTGAATCTGAATCCAAACCGACCTTCATGAGACTGCTTTTGAGATAATTCTCTCCTGCTAGCTGCTTGCTATCTACACTATCTTCCTTGACCTCAGTGGACTCACCTCCACAAGCACCACCACAACCATCAGAGACATGATTAACATCAGGGGCATCAATGGATGACACAACTGATGTGGATGGCACATGTGGGCTGCTCTCCAACTTCAATGGCCCAGCTGTGTATATATGGGGAGAGGGTTTGCAGAAGCAAATGAAAGAAGGACAATGAATTTTGCAGAACAAGACCCTCATCAACACATACGCTCCTCTTTTTTCCACTTGGCTTTTAACAACTGAAAACTCCTTCATCACACTCCTCCACACCACAATCCCCCCATTTCGTAGCTCCAATTAAAAATTTTAAAAAAAAAATGGAGAAAAGAGGCATAAATCCTTATCGAAACTCCAAACTCGTCGGAACCCAATGTCAAGATTTAAGATGAGAAAGAAACCCAAAACCAAAACCCACCAAGGGGACTTTAATTCTCCACAACCAGAAAAGGTTACTTTAGCTCTGGACTCTTTTGGTTTTTAATTCAGCTAAAAAGGAAGGAAAGGGACAACCTTTTCTCCCGAGGAAGAAACAAAGGCTAGAGAGGGATTCGTTTGTAGGGTAAAAGGATTCAACTTGAACAGAGCAAAGGGTGAAATAGTTGTCTCCCAAACAAGCCGACTTACCCACCAGCAACCTCTGTTTTCCCCTGTTTCTCCAATGGAGGAAAACCAGAAGAAGAGAAACAAACTTCAATGATGCTAATACATCCAGCAAGCTGCAAGGCCTTGCTAGAACTGTAAACCATGAAGAAGAGAAGAAGTAGAAATGGAAAAAAAAAAAAATGTAAACAGAGAGATTGAGATTGATATAGAAGAAAATGAAAAGGAAAGAGTGGATTAGCTGGAAAGGATTAAGAGAGAAAAGATTGTTGAAGGAGTTTCAAGACCCTACCAAACAGAATTTCAACAGTAACTGCCATAAATATATTATAAACCTGTATCTGTATGCATTTAAAAGGGTATACTTTTGAATTTAAAAATATTGCTTTGCTTACCAACCAACACTTTCTATGTTCATGTTCCTTGCAATTCCAATACTATATTGTCTTCTGATGTGGTACAAGAATAATGATGTTTGGAATTGGTTGTCTTTCTTCTTAAATAAAAGAAAGAGAAGGGAGAATGGCTAAATAGATGTAATGTTTGTTTTATTTAAATGTAACACTAGAATTTTCACTCTAAATTATAATTTACCGTTCAGATGATTTTACGTTCGTAAGAATCAAAATAACGATTTATCGTTTTTTTTTATAGAAAAATATTTTATCTCTTAAACAATTTGAAATAATAACGAAACCAAATCTCTTTCACCGGTAAATACTACATGTTATTCCGTTAATTGGAGTTGCTTGTGGATATAGTAAGTTAATATGATATCGTAACGAGATTAGGTCATAATAGATGGTGGATTATTCTATGATTATCTTTAGCAAATTAAAAAGTCCAATGATGGGTTTTGTGGGCCACATGGAAAGAAGCAATCACAGTGGTCAATCATCTTTCAAATGATCCAAGGGTTGGAAATGAAAGGCCTACCAAGAACAAGAAAGTAGCAAAGACTTCCTCCCATACCAAATGATTAGCCATTAATGCTTTGTTTGTGGATTGCATGAAGTCTTCAAGGAATTTTGTGAAGATTTTTGATTTCATTTAAGCCATGTAAAGACACCCCCACAAGATTTATCTCTAATTCTATTATTTCTTTTTAATTAATTTAATTTTTTTAATAAGTATGATCATTTATTATTGTAAATTATTTAATTTAAATTATAAATATTAATTTTAAATGGGTATTATTATTTTTAATAGAAGTAATTATTATATCACTTATTTATTATAAAATATTTAAAAACTAATAATTAATGTTATTACCTCAGTTGTTTTGATACGGTCATAAATACATTTTTTTTTTTGTTCGATAACGTAATAGACTTGTTGAAAATAAATCTAACTTAGTTATTTGTAACTCCACCAACACACTTGATAAATTAAATTATCGATCTAACTAGATTAAATATTACGGTCGACACTAAATAAATTAAATTATTGATCCAAATAAATTAAATTTTATAACAGACTACTATTATCTCATAATATACTTACAAAGTGATAAATTTTATATTTTTAATAAAATTCGAACTCGTGATCATAATACTGGACAACAAGGTATTAACTATTTTTTTTTGTTTTTCGTTTATAAATTTAGTGTGAAAAGGATCTAATGGATTATATGATTCCACTTTTTCTTTTTTTTTTTTTTTTTTTTTTTTTCCTCTTTTAAAGGGGTTGACATAAGGGGAAACAACTTTTTAAAGCTATTCAAAATTCAAAAAAACCATGTATTATACTTTATATATATATATATATATATATATATATATATATATAAAGCAAATAAAGATACCTTCAACACCATTCATTTTGCTTTATCCCTTGCTTCTTCTCTTTTTCAGCCATGAAAAATCACCTTGAGCAACACACTCAATTCCTTTTCAAAAATCTCTCACCGCTCATTATTCTATTCTCCATCTCCTACCATGATGCTTTTTGCACGCACTATGCAGCTTCTGACCCTACTATTACTATTTTCTTTATTTGGAGGAAACTCAATTTTTTTGTTGAATAAAAAAGTTTTGGACCTGTCCTGCACACACACATGTACATGTATCGGATATATTACCTACTGCTGCAGCCGTATGACGACAATGAAATGACAGGGGAGGTGGGGGGGGAAGCCAATAATGGAGAAAATTGACACCTGGAGAAACACATCGTTGAAGGAGGAGACCACGAAAGAGATGGTGATTGAAAAATAAAAGGGTTCTGAGAATTTTCAAAAGGGTTCTGAGAATTTTCAAAAGAAAAATGTGAACATCAAAGTTCAGCTTTTTTATTTTGATCCAAGGGACAAGCGCATGACTGATTGTAGCTAATTGCGGGGGCACACGGCTCTCCACTCCGCCCTTGGCCATTCCTGTCTTGCCTTACGAGTACATGCATGCATTACATAATCACACACGCCTCTGCTATATGCTTTATAGAGCTGTTAGTTAGTTCCTTTTCTTCTTTTTTACAACACTTTTACTTGCACGTATACATGCATATATGCACACATATATGTATATATATATATACATATAATACATATACGTGGGACATCAACCGTAGATATGGGTATAATGACTTGGTTGAAGTCATTAAGTCTGTATAATTTTGTGAGAGACCACAGCCTCTCCATCTGGCATTTGGTCATTAGTCAACATCAACAACCTAACTGTACAGTGTCTAATCATTCAACAAATCCAAAATGTATCACTCTTTTTCACCAAATTCTCCATATAGCCAGCTCTTGGCTCACACCAAATGTGCATGACAAAGAAACCACACCCAACAACAAGAATTCTCTAGTTATATACATGTATCTATCATCCAAATCACTCAACATTCAAACAATTATCTAAATTTTATATCAAGCACGCCACATATGCGGTATATATGGCTCTGACCTAATCACACGAAACGGATGGATGGATGGATGGAAGAATAGGTTTTGAAAAAAAAATGAATTCAGATTTACTTATTTGAGTCTATGTCAAAAAAATTATAGACAAAAATCTTCTCTTTATGCTTTAAATAAATAATTTGTATACAGAGACAAAAATTTTCCTACAGATTCAGCACAAGCACTGCCCCAAAAGAGTAATGAGATGCAAGCGCACCAAAACCATTTTTCAACTTCAATATAACCTGACACTCAAAAATAAACCTATATCCATAATTGCCAATGGAAAAGAAACCTGCTGCAATGTTACGACTGAACTTTCAGAACAGGAAACGCAATAACATCTCGGATGCTGGCAGAATTTGTCAAAAGCATCACAAGCCTGTCAATTCCAAGTCCCTGCAAAACAGAATTCTTGTTGTTACACTTCCTTAGGAAGAATGTAATAGTACACAATCTCAGTTCCCTCATAGGTCAATTCATCGTGCAAGAAGAGTTAGGAGAAGAGACACTCTCCAGATCAAAATAAACTATCCAAAAGTCAAATCATTTCATTCAAGAGGCAAGGCTCCGATCTGTCCAATAAACACATGATTGCTTCGTTGATAATTATTAAAATTGATTCATATCCAGACTCACCCGTAACCTTAGCGAAATTTAGTGTCAGCATTTGCAACGAAGCTAGCATTACTCACAAGATGCACATACAAATATCAAAAAATTCAAAAGCACGGTAAACAATTGGAGTTAATACAGATGAAAAAGGATGATCATACCATTCCTGAAGCTGGAGGCATTCCATACTCCAAAGCAGTCAAAAAGTCATCATCAAGAGTCACTTCGTAAGAATCATCTTCATTTTCCTTCACGGGTTCTTCTTTAGAATCAATTTGCATAACAGCTGCTGCTCTCTTCTCATTATGCTGCCTTACTTGCTCTTCCAAACGTTTCCTCTGCCATCATTTAAAACTAACGATAATATTTCTGCTTCCCAAGTAAAATCTAATTATTTAGTGTTTCATTTGTTCTGGCAATAATGTTCATATGTAGAGAAAAAGAAAATGAATGCCAACCACACCCAGGGAAACAGTGTTCACTGGGAAGTTTAATTCATGCTCTCTTCACTATACGTTATCTATCTATATTCGGTGATGATACTGGGATTTATTCTTGGGGGGTAATACTAGGTGCAATATATTGGTTTGTCAAAGCAGTTGGGATTCGAGGCCGAAAACCTTTGTCCCCTTGATAAAGTAGATATTATTATATTTTTTATTTTAAATATTTTGAATATTCGAGTTGAGTGAATACTGAAGCTTTTACTTTTCTTTTTCATAACAAATCTAATTCTATGTTTCCCACAAACATCTTGTATTTATTTGTGCACACATATACAAACATTTCGCTCTTGTAATTAGAAAGAGCATAAGTACAACGGGAAGAGGGGGTTGTTGGTTCCGCCAATGCCTACGAGAGATTTCCAGCCAAGATTCTTCAAAGAATTTATGAAGACCCAAAATAGTTTTGTTTCGAAGCCTTGAACTGATGTATCACTTTTTGGGTTGTCCATCAATACTCAAGTTGGAATCTAATGCTAAATTAGTTACATCCATAAAAGCAAAGTTTTAAAAAGCTGGAGAACTGTCCCACTGCTTACCTGCTCCATAGGATCAGTCAATTCAGAAAATGCATTAGCCAGTTCACGACCACAGATGAAGAGCTCGAATCTTTCAGTCAATCCTGTGCTCCTAATTTGAAAGGATTACATGAATGAAAACAAGTTTGGAAAGAGCAAAAGTGTATTTAATAGATATAGTTTCATCAGAGGAAGAAAAAAATTCATTCTTCTGCTTAAACATGTAAAACCACCACAGCCTAATTTGTAAATCTAAAGACATCCAGAAAGTTGGCAGTACTAATAACATGACAGCATTATTCCCTAGACTACTAAATGGAAACTTCTCAAATATTCAGCTCCAGATTCTCAATGTGCACCAACATTGTGATAGACTTTGAAGAAAGTCTAGCATGAGCTGAAAAAAAATATAATCAATAAATTCACTGGTAGATTTTAAAAGAACCTCAAACCTGATCTTTGCTTCATAAATTTCTTACCTTCTATGCGGTTTAGCAAGAGGAGAAATTTCAATAGGGTAGTCCAAGACAAATGTGGGTTGAAGAAGCTTTGGTTCGACAGCAATTTCAAAAACCTGGGGAAACAAAATAAAAATTAGCGTCTCAAAGAACAGTGGTTTGAGGAAAAAAAAAAGTCTTCTGATTAAGATATGGACATTCACCTCATTAAGGAGGTGACCGAGCGAGGGGCATGCTTCAATGGTAGATTTGTCTTTATTTTCAATTCCAGCTCCAAGTGTCCTAACAACAACATCTTTGGCTACTTTAAGATCGTTCCCCAACTCACTAAAATTAATTCCAGTAGCTTCCAGAACAAGATTGTGCATTGTTTCCCTCCTCCATGGGCGATCCAGATGTATTTCCACCCCCTGCATGGAAGCATCAGAGGCATTTTACTTTTGGGTATTATTGTGTGAATTAATAAAATAAATGATCCACAAGATCCGACTGGAATATCTACCTGATAATCAATTGTGAGCTTTCCATGAACTGCAAGCGCACATTGAGTAACAATTTCTTCTGCCATGTTCATCATGCTTTCATAATCTGAATAGGCTTCATACATCTAAGAACAGGTAACAGAAAACATATCAGAGCTTAATTCCGAAATGTGAAGTTACTATGAACTGCAACCATACAACCTTAACATATAAGGAGCACACCTGTCAAACATGTTGCAAATTAAACAAAAACAACAATTTAGTGTACCTCTATTGTTGTAAATTCAGATTATGACGTGTTGAAATTCCTTCATTTCTAAATATTCGACCAATTTCATAGACTTTCTCAAATCCCCCAACCTGTCATTACAAGAACGAGATTTGTAGGAAAAGAATTTTAAGTGCAAAAAAAATGACAAACGAGGAGATTCACAAAAAAAAAAGGCAACAGAGTTATTACACTTAACACTTTGTATGGTAAACCAAGCACTAGAATGACTTAATATATTTATGTATAAATTTCATGTGTCTTCAATGATTAGCCTGAGGTTAGAAAGAAGAACATGAAAAATCTCACCAACATTCTCTTCAAGTGAAGCTCAGTTGCAATTCTCAAGTACAGATTCCTTTCCAGGGAATTATGATATGTGACAAACGGCCTTGCTTCTGCTCCACCAGCTGCTCCCTAGTTGATCGAATCAATGAAAACCAATTCCAGATACAAAGAATCTTTGCTCTTTTTTATTTAAAACATAGTATAATCACAGAATAAACTAAGGAAGAAAGACGAAAATATTACAAACCTGCAGAACTGGAGTTTCAACTTCAATAAAACCTAAAGATTCCACTGCCTTGCGTATCTCTGATATAATCTATAATAAACAAAGTAGGATAAGATTCAAGCACACGGGCAAATCTGCTTATCTACATGCAACAAATCAATGCTTAGAGCATATTGAAACTGTATCCAATGTCTCAAAAGGATTATCCCATTTTTCAGATTCATAGTTCTAAAAATGTTCCATGTATTGAACACCTCACCTAACAAAAACTTTAACGCTTTCAAAACTTAGATTGAAGTGACCAAAAATGTTCCATGTACAGCTTCGTGATAAAAATACTTTACAAAAGTGTTTTTAACACATAGGAAGCATTATAAATACCTCTCGTAATCTCACTTTTGACACTAAGTTCAGTTCTTTAATAATAGTTCTTCAATTTTCTCGTTGTGTAATGTGCTCAAATATTAAAAAATAAATAAATAAACATTAAAGTTCACCAATGTTGCAGCTTCACAGCTTAAACATAACATACTTATGAATTAACCAAAGGAGCAATTGAAAGTTGTGGATAAGGGAAAGGATAACCCACTTTTGCTCTCTTTCGAAATACATCACCCACCTCAGGATTTGCAATCATGTCTACATACCTAAATGTAAAACACAGATCATTAAAAAAGGAGAAGAAAATTGAAGATATACTCAATGAATCTTAGATGAGTCATCCATATTAATATCTGAAGACCATCAGACTAAGTTAATACATGATTCCAGAAAAACAGTCCCCTACCGCCTCAAAGGTCAGCCAAGGAAGGCTATTTAAGGGGGGGAAAAAAGGAAGAATTTGGTAAAGATCACCAAAGTGGACACGAGCTGTGGGAAAGGCAACCTTTTTTTACTAACTCTGGGTCAAGGCACATGGCTACTTCTCTTCCATTAGCATCACAGAGCTCCAGTGCAACTGGGAAGCATTTATGTAAAGCAGTTAGAGAATTGATTGATTGTATTTCTTTATTTTTTTTATTTGCTTTCGACTGATCACCAAGAGGAGGATGTCTTATTCTCCTTGATTATATTTTCCTTTCCGTCTTTCCTCCATTAATAACACCTCTTCTTTTATCTAAAAAAAGACCACAAAAGTGGTGCAGCCCTGATATAAAAGGAAATAAAAGATGGAATTTACAATTTAGTTAGCATGTCCGTGATATCCCCAAGAAGCCTTACTGAGAGCACGGCCCTTAAACCAAAAAAAAAACTGAAACCAAACATTCCGAACTCTACTAAAAGAATAAAACCATTCTTTTCTTTTTTTTGAAATAAAAGAAAAAGAATAAAACCATTCTTGAAAACTGTTTTATTCTTTTCTTCCAAATAACCCACAAAGTAACCTGACTGATAAGAGAAATTTGTCTTTTCCCGGCCTTATTACTCATAATACTTTGCAATGCAGACAGCTGATTTGCCACCTAATCAGCCATAACAAAGATTCACTTTAAAAGGTCCAACATGGTGGGCCACAATTGATAAGAGAAAGTGCATCCTAGCAACATATGACCAGGGGTCCATGCAACATTTTTGTTCAGAAAACATAGATTAACCATAATCTTGCACCTTTGGTGAATTTTTGAACGTAAGAATCTCCCATGAGCAACTCAATGATTTACTTCGAAATTTTCTGATCCATTTATCTCTAGATCAACCAATAAGAGAAGGCCAAAAGGAAGGAGAAATCTCTAGATCAACTAATAAGGTAAGAATCCCCGCATCATACATTTCTTTTTTTTTAATGTAAAAATCATATATTTCAAACACCAACCACAAAATGAAGGAGAAATACAGATTGAGTAAATTGTTTTACCTTTGTCGATAGCGTTTATCCACATCAGTAAGACCGTGATACTTGTCTGGAAGCGGAAGGAGAGATTTTGTAAGAATTGAAAAAGAATTCACATAAATAGATAGCTCCCCTGAAAAAAATAAGAAAATGGTATAACATCAGTCACAGCATCATCAACAAGCAAATTGCTTCTAAGTTCAGGAGCAATGTTAGATGAATAAGAAATTGATCCCCCCAACTCAACACCTCCCCTCACATGACTAAACAGCCAAGGAATACCATCTTCGGTATAAAATAAGGTACTCACACTAGTTCTCTCCCCCACAATGATTATATTTGAGAAATTTACCTTTCTCTGTGCGTTTTATTGAGCCACTTGCACCAAGTATATCACCAATATCAACAAATGTTTTTAGCTGTTCAAACTGATCACTTGCAAGCCTCTCCTTCTCGCAGTAAAGCTGTAACCACCGAAACAGTACCCAAATTTGGAAAACTGAATGAGGACAAATACTCAAAAGCTCCGTTTGACAGAGAAAGATATATCTAGTACGTAGTCATTTCAAACCCATAGTCATCAAGAAAACTCCAAAACCAGAAATGGAACAACAAGATATAAAATCCAGCTTGTTCTTTTTAATAAATAAAACACAGCTTTCTAATAAATTTAAAAGTAGCATCATCTGATTGACCTTATTTAATGAACCATGGTTTCTATAACCTGTCAGAATATTATGAAGACCACCAGGTAGCCACCTTAATGAGTTGTTCGACTACCGAAGGAAAAGATAGAAGCCTTTCATGCATATCAAGTCACATTTTTTACGCACCAACCAGCTTATTATGAACAAGTAGCCACCAGTGAGTAAAAGGTAATATATAACCCTAAACTCAAGAAAGTGCATGTTTCTCCTTAGCTACCACTTTCAGCTAGAATGTTACCGAGTTCTCTACTTTCTGTCTAGACAACTGATACACATCTAAATTGATTAAGTGAGAGAGCAGAAGTGTATAATATGACCAATTGCTAAAGACATCTTCAATGACAAAATAGCTGTTACTCAAGGATGCAGCATTCCAAAAATCTAAAAGAAATTAATCCCTGCAGGTAAAAACCTGTTGCTTGAGTTTGCTTCCGTTCTTTGTTTAAACTTTTCTACGTTATTTCTCATTGATTTCAGCTCCACCTCAAACAGAAACTATAACTTTTCTGCTCAAATTAAATTATACAAAATTATTTTTTTGTGTAAAAAAATTATATACTCAAGAGCACCAAAGGCATGCAACCTATGCACAAAAAAATTTACAAATCAATCAAAATATCTATCAAGTTTTCAAATTCATCACCAGGACAAAGTGGATGACCCCTGATCAGATAACTTAGAGTTTGAAACCAAATATCTTTTAAATTTGTCAAGAGTAAATTCAATCCCCTCAAAAGCTCTTATGTTTCTCTCATATGACCCAAAAGGAGGTGAAAGGTATAAACTTTATCCTATATTAGATTATCTTTTGACAAAGATCTATATAATTATTTTAACTAGAAACGTTCATAATTCATGCTACAATGAAAACACACAACACACAAACACAGAGTAAAAAAACACTAGCTTCAGCTGTAAACAATAAAAAGCTGAGTAAGTTTGGCACAAACAAATGGTATGATTTAATTTGAGCTAAAGTCTGGCATACATATCAAACTAATAATAAAAAAAGAAACAGATATAACCAATATGCATTATGGAGCTAAAAGAACCAGTATGTTTATAAGAACATGAAGTAGAAGCAAACCTGAATTGTCCCGGAGTCATCTCGCAGTGTCAAGAAGGCAAGCTTCCCAAAGGCTCTACGTGCAACAATCCTCCCTGCCATAGTCACATGATCAGCCTCACTATTGGATTCTTCACCATTTCCAAGATGCCTATAAATCTCTTGCAGCTGACTGGCAGAATGAGTCCGGTCCCATTTGTAAGCATAAGGCTCAAAACCTTTGCTCCTCAACTCTTCAACCTATATAACCAATATCAAACATGAAAAAAAAATCCATATGTTATGCGACTCCCACCATGTTTCTCAGCAACCAAACAGAATTTCTCCACTGTTGGCTTCATTATATAATTCCCTCTTACATTCAAAAATTCGAACTTGTCTTGAAGAATAAACCAAACCAGTTAATTGATATGTTATGCGACTCCCACCATGTTTCTCAGCAACCAAACAGAAATTCTCTACTGTTGGCTTCATTATATAATTCCCTCTTACATTCAAAAATTCGAACTTGTCTTGAAGAATAAACCAAACCAGTTAATTGAAGGCTAAAAACGATAATGCCAAACCCATCAATCACTCAAATTTAACAAATTCCCAAAGAATTCAAATGTGCGTACACATAACGCGCGCACACATATACATATGGACAGAGAGAGGGAGAGAGAGAGACTAGACCTTTTGGAGACGAATGGAACGGACGGCTTCTCTGTCAGAGGTTGAACTGGAGGAGGGAGAGGAACGGCGATTGCTGCGAGAAGGGAGTTTGGTGGTGGGTGGTGCGGTTGTGGAGACCGGAGACGAAGAAGAAGAAGAAGAAGAAGAAGAAGAGCAGCGTAAGAGTCGCGTAGAAGGATAAGATGATTTTTTGAGAGTGAGTGCAAAAGATGAAGATGACAAGTTAAGAACCTGCCTACTCCACACTTTCACTGCCTCCATTTTCTCTCCTTCCCTCTACCCTCCTCTCCTATCTCCCCCTGCAAATAAATCAATGGAAGTCCTGGTTTTGTCTTAGAATTGAAGTGGGCTGGGCTTAAATCTATTTTCATCCTTCATTTTGGGCTACGAACGAACATATTTATTACAATTTACGAATTGAAAATTCAAACCCTAATCCATTCATACAAATTAAATAAATAAAATTATAAACTCAAATTTTCAAAGGTGAAACAGAAAACAATTAATAATTAGCAGAAGCAGAAGAGCCTTTGCCCTGCAACTGCAAACATCCCTTGGTGCAGGCAAGATCGCAGACACCCTCAATTGCTCCCTCAACTCTCATGCAGATGGGAGGACAATCTTCCATGCACTGACCATACGTCTCTGGATCTGTTTCGTGTATGAGAGCCGCCACCATTGTTGTTATCATTAACATCACCATCACCATCATCATCATCTTCATCTTCATCGTCTTCTTCTTCTTCTTCTTCTTCTTCTGCAATATATATTTATATAATAATGGATTGACGCATGCATGGCTTAACTGGTGTACGAGATATCAATGTAGAAATCACAGGCCACCACTTATTTTGATGGGACATGAGAGATTCGAGGTGGATATATATATATATATATGTATCATATTCAAATACCATTAATTTTAGTTATTATATATTTAGAAAATTCACTATTTTTATATTAAAAATTATATTATAAGTCTTTAAAATTTTACTAAATTTATTTATTTATATTAAGTGTTGTATAATGAAGAATTATATCAAAAATATAAAATTAATTAAAGTTCTTTAAACGATATAATTAATTAATTAAATTAGTAATAATAAAAGGAGACGATCATCAAATTTTTAGAATTTGTTAATTTAATTACTATATAAATAATATATTATAATTATAAATAATTAATTATCCCGCTAACAAATTTTTTTTAAATAAAATCTAACTGTCATAAAATATTTATTTTATTATAATATATTTTAACTCGTTAGTTAACATTTAATTTAATCAATACGATTTTATTAACACATTAACGAATATATTAATTATTATATATAATAATTATTTAAATATTATAGTAAA